AATTTCTAAAGATGTTAAATAGCTGAGCAATTTTACTCTATCACCAAATACTGTATCGGATCACCAAGTATTACCAATTTTAAGGCATCCATCCGTATGCCCACTCAGCATCCATCGAAAACTGCATAATACTTCAGCAAAGTTCTCATATCACTTCGTATCGTTCTCAAATGTAGTATCGTACTTCGACTAGTTATTCGTTACTTCTGGATGGAAGGAATTCCAAAAAGAAAATTTTTGCAAGTTGATCATAGAGAAGATCACAAAGTCGGTCATGAAGCGTGTGGCTGATCACATTTTGTAAATCGCAAAAGCAAGGCAACCAATGATCAATAACGTTGGAATCTTTATTAACTTGTCGATAATCGATATTGTTCAAAGCAGAATTGATAAATTACAGTCGTTTATCATTAACACATTTGAGTTGTGATGAAACGAATGGTTACCGAATTCGTTCGAAATATTAAACGAATGAAACGAACAAGTTTGATGAAATTCATAATGCAACAGTATTCTATCGCCTTGTCAATCTATCTGTTTGGTGGAAATGACAAATACACTGAATCCGTTATTTTAGGTTTCTGAACCTGAAAATATCATCACTTTCAAGTTTTACTCATCGAATGATCGACGAGCACAAACAACTGCTTTAGAAGTTCCATTCAAGTCGAGAAACAATTAACCAATATGAACACTGCTAATTCATATGCGATGCACTGACTGTTAGTATGGTGTACATAGTTTTTGTGAGTTCCATTTGAATGGCAATCAAAGTGATATTGGTTCAGTGATATTGTCGCTTTTTGACCGCATACAGCTAACTCTTAATTGAGACGTGTCCTTTTTAGCATCTACTCAGATCGCTCGCTAACACTAAATCAGACTCGTAACTAACCCCAACAAAGAAATCTTCATCTTTCATATCTTCTGGAGATTGATCAATATCTAAATCCTTTTGATTCTGAAACATGCGAATGAATGAGTTGCATACTGAAGCAAGTTTGCAATTCACAGCTATCTTCCCTTTTATGACAGATCAATTACAATTGTTCTCACTCAGTCTGTGGTCATCAATAGCATGTGTGAGGGAATACATCCGAAATTGCTACAACAACTCAACCAATTAATTAATAAAATGAATAAATATACTAGAAACTGAAACGACTACAAATCGCACCTTAGAAATAACTTCTTGTTGGCATTTCTTTTGATTAACATCAAACTGAGCCATGTCCTGTGCAATATAATCAGAATCGCATGCGTGTGTTAGGTGAAGGACATCGATGCCAATGAATCCTTGTTCCTCCTGACAGGATTGTTGCGTTGAAGGGTTTTGCTGTTGTTTTGAAACGATTTCCGAAGATTGTTTATTCGATTGTGACGTTGATTTCTTCGACTGGTCAATATCCGATTGTCGATCTTGAGTTGTCGCACATGATGCTAGCGCAGCATCGGTGTCAGTTCCTGTCGTCGAATCGGCGTATTCATCCAAATAACTACGACTTTTCCTCGGTCCTGGTGCGTGATATTCTTCATAGAAATCATTACTTTCATATTCAAATGGACTTCGCATTTCGTCAGACCCTGAACTTTGCGCATCCTCTTTCCTCAAATCCTTCGTAGCGCATGCTGAGTCATCCTTAGCGTTTGCTTGTGACGTTTTTACTTCGAACATATACTTCTCTTCTGCATCGACAGTCTCGTTTTTGGACGGTTTGGATGTGTTTTGCTTTGATTGCTTTGATTTATCTGTCTTGGGTCGTTCTGGTGAGTCTTTTCTTGTTTCTTTTCTCAACATTTTACCGGGAAGAGAGTCTTTCAAATGTTTGCTGAAATCTTTCGATGGGTTCTTTTTCGGGGATGATTGAGCGAAGTAGCCCTCGTCTGAAAAATTCTCTAAGTCTGCCAACGACTGCTGACATTCTTCTTTCGAGAACGACTTCACGTCTGCTCTCGGTGGTGTGTGCGCTTCTTCTTTTGGAGGTCGTTTGGTGGGGGTGTTATTGTTCTCCTTTGGACGCTTTTGATCTGACGTTACTTTAGCATCCTCGATGTGATTATCCTCGTTCGCAATCATCAATGCATCTTTTAATCGTAGATCTGAACGTAGTTCGGGGCCGTTGACACTCTTTGCTGGTTGCTTCAATAAAGCAGCACTCGCCTTTTGTTTCTTTGCATCTGTTGCTTTTTGCGTTTTGTGTTCCGCTTTCCGCGGCACATCCGATGTTTTTTTACATGGTTTCTTCGTTGCGGTTGGTTTTTCTGCAGGTTTTGCTGTAG